GAACGCTAAACGAGGAAGCGTCACTTCCTCGTCTACCCGAGGAAGCGTCATTTCCTCGTGTAAGGAAGGCGAGAGGAGTCAAGTGACTCATTCAAGTGCGCTCAGTTTGTTCGAGAACCGAAATTCGGTCGTCATCCGAGGCATAAAAAAAACTCGAAATTTTTGGTCGAAAACCGATTTGGTCGAGAACAGAGACGTTCGAAAACCGAGGTTTGACTGTATTTTCATGCTGATTTAATCCAAGAGATACAGAATACCCAAATTTGTAATTGTGCCAATCCATGACATGCCACCGTAACCCAAAAAAAACCTAATCATATCTCATCACTGCCAACCCTGTTGATGAACATAGCTGCAGCTCTTCAATTTGGTATCATGTCACCCAGTCAGAATATGGTAACAGACTAAACATTGACATTCCTTGGTGCCTTATTTTGGGCAGACCTCATTGTAGCTTCATGGGGATGATGATTTCACATGACATGCTGCTTGGACGCTGGCGTCTGTCACTGGAACTCTTTGGTCGTGTCTTCATGGAGGACGTTGGGGCTGAGCCTGGATCGGTACTTCTTTTCGTTTTATTAACTGCAATTGTCAAAGCTTATGACCTGTCAACTTATCGAAACCTTTTGTGATGCCTTAAAATAATTTTTGAAAGAAAGGGTGTTTATAATTTATGTAAAAGTTTAATCAAAGTTTGACTTTTTATTTCATTTTAAGATTCTCACTGAGCTTGGTGGCTTTGAGGTAAAGGAGTCAAAGTTCCGCAGAGAAATGGAGAAGCTAAGGAACCTACAATCCCGGGACTTGGCCCTGGAAGTTGATCGGGATAGAGACCAGCTAATACAGCAGACCATGCGTCAGCTGAACACTCACTTTGGCAGGAGGTGCACAACCACACCAATGGCTGTACACCGAGTAAAGGTCACTTTCAAAGATGAGCCGGGCGAGGGCAGTGGTGTAGCCCGAAGCTTCTACACAGCTATTGCGCTGGCACTCCTCTCCAATGACAAACTGCCCAATTTGGACTGCGTCCAAAATGTCAGCAAGGGCATGCAGGCCAGCAGTACGTGTCATCACGATTACAATTCAAGTATGAAATTACAAAGAAACTATACTGTATTTTGGAACTTGCGTTCATTCTTGCATACTGAGAAGTTAACTTGAGATTAAAAATTAACTTAAGGTGAACTTTTTCTTGTTTGTTCAGATCTAATGCAGCGTTTGAGAAACAGAGATCGGGAAAGAGAGAGGAGAAGTGGAGGTCTACGAGCGGGATCCAGGAGAGACCGGGACAGGTGAACTCTAGCTACACATGCCTCTTTTTAGAACAGGCCACAACTGTGTTGTGGAAGACATGTTGCATATCTGTGTTTGATTTTACAGAGACTCTAGGAGACAACTATCCATAGACACCAGGCCATTCAGGCCGTCATCGGAGGGCAACCCCAATGATGAGCCTGACCCCTTGCCTGCCCACAGACAAGCTTTAGGGGAAAGACTTTACCCACGTGTTCATGCAATGCAACCGGTAGGTAACGAGCAACCTTGTCCATTAACAGCTAACAGTTTGATTTTCTTGGAATATATAAAAAAAATAAATAAATCACTTTTTACACTTAGACCATAAAATAATCCTGAGAACCTTATTCTTACGAAATCTGTCAAAAATGGTGTGTTGTACAAATCCCAGTGCCCACAGACTGCAATGATTTTGTCCGACATTATTTGTCCACTTTTTACCTGGTGTCTGTGTGATGTCGTAAGCACATTCACAAAGATGTTTGGCTCCAGTGTAGCTGTACAGATTCGTAAACTGTATTAACTTTATATGTAATTGCATCACGATAATAGCTGAACTCATGTTCGGTATGACCGCAGTGTGTTCTGTATCCGCGTTGAACAAACGTTTTGTGCTTCTGTCAGCAACAGAGCTATTTCTGTTAGTTCAAATAACACTTCTGCCTGCTGGTTGCATCTGTGATTGGCTGGATGTGCGTGGCTGAAAAGTCACATAACTTAGGCTGAGTGATGAAAGCTATTTTTAATTAAAAAGATGTTAAAATTAAGTAACACGCATACTGCAGCTTGTTCTTTTTTTGACGTAAATAAAATGGTCGTCTAATATTAATTTGTTAAATACAATGACATTATTTTAGTGAGGTCAGTACAATCATAGCTGTGTGTGTGTGTGTGTGTGTGTGTGTG